AAAGGAAAGAAGGGAAAGGAAAAAATGATGAGAAATGGAAAAAAAGGAAACAAAGTCTTTATAAATGGGGAAGGGTGGAGGGGGTGAAGGGAGGGCAGGGAATGGGGAAAAAATAACAACCAAGATACATCATGTAAAGATAAAAGTTCCCAATGATAAATGTAAATGTATTATATACCTAAAATGTACCAATAAAAGAATTTAAGGGGGAAAAAAATGAGGCATAAAGAAATTTTTAGGCAGAAAAAAAATTAAATTCACTGTTTAGGAAATAATAAGATCCAGACTTCTGAGATAAGTGTACTTGGGCTGAAAGGAAATTTAAAATTTCTCAATCTCCTGGGCTTTCCTTGGAGAAGCAAGCAGCCTTCAGCCCCATTTGAAGAAATCTGCCTTTCACTGCATAAAACCTTACACTGACTTCACCTGAACCAGAAGCCCCATAACTGGTAGCTCACCACCACAAACTCTTATTATTTCCAAGCTTTTATCAGAAGTTAAGTTGTCCCCAGAGAGGCTGTAGTCCCAGCACTGAGAAGGCTGAGATGGGAAGATTGCTGTGAGTTCAAGGCCAGCCTGGGTTACACAGCAAGATCCTGTTTCAACACACCCGCCCCAAGTTGTATTGTAGTTTGCCTAGGGAGAAACTGCAAAAAATTGCTTTGAGAGTACAAAATTCTTACACCAAAGTGCTACAAAATCCTAGCAGGATCCTTAGCCAACAGGAGATGATTCGGGGGTGGGAACAAATTTATTAATATGGAGTTATTACCTACGATTTAGGATTTAATGTACTAGATCCATTACCTAAGACTGGATCCTACCATTTGCTTTAATGGTTATTTGAAACATGAATTTTACAATTATCTTCAACACATGAAGTTAAAAATCAAGGAATGTTTTGACAAATTGTAGGAAAAGGAATCTGAAAGCAGAGAATAGGAAATGTAAGAAATAAACTATTGTATGCAATTCATTTAACCAGCTTTTAGCTGATGAAGGTACACAGAGGGAAAGTGAGCATATAAAAAGACTGATACATGTGTCATTAAGAAACTGTAAATTAAAACAACAATGAGATACTACTACACACCTATTACAATGACCAAAATCCAAAATACTGACCACTCAAATGCTGGTCAGAATTTAGAACAACAGACACTCATTCACTGCTGGCAGGACTCCACAAGGTATAACCACTTTGGAAAACAGTTTGGTGATTTCTTATAAATATAAACATACTCTTAAATACAATCCTCTAATGACTCTTCAGCATTTATCCAAAGAAGTTGAAAATTCACGCTCACACAAAAACCTGCACACGGACGTTTATTTGTAACTGCCAAGACTTGGAAGAAACCAGAATGTCCTTCAGTAGATCAATGGATAAATGATAGACCATGTCCAGTGATGGCGAACCTTTTAGAGACTGAGTGCCAATCTGCAACCCAAAACCCACTTATGTATCCCAAAGTGCCAACTCTACATTAGTACCTTTTGTCTTAAAACACAATAACCTGTGTGCCACAGGTTCACTATCACTGATCTAGACAGTGAGATATTTTTCATGGCTAAAAGGCAATGAGCTATCAAGCCATGGAAAGACACAGAGGAACCTAAAATATATATTACAAATATATATTACAAAGAAAAAGCCAATCCGAAAGCTACACACTGTATGATTCAAACTATATGACAATCTAGGCAACGCAAAGCTATGAGCATTGTCGAAAATTGTTTAAGGCTAATGGGGGAGGAAAGGATGAACAGGCACAACACAGAGAATTTTTGACTCATGATACTACAAGAGTGGGCACATGTTGTTACACATTTGTCAAAACCACAGACTGTGAAACACCAACAATGAACCCTAACGTAAGCTAGAGACTTGATAGTAAGGATATGTCGATGTAAATTCCTCAGTTCTAACAAATCCATCTCTGCAGAGCCAAACGTTGAGAGAGTTGGGAAGGGATATGGGCTATCTGGGAATTCTTTACTTTCCACTCAGTTTTACTGTGAACTGAAAACAACTTAAAAACAATTTTTGTGGGTTGTTTTTTTTTTTTTACCAACAATAACCTGATACAACGCAATTTCATTTTAGGTGCTTTCCCACAATTGAAATTTTTGAAAAGTTAAACTAGATAATACATTTTAAAAATAAGTAAAAATCAATGTTCAATATGCATAGATGAACAAATTTTAATGTGGCATATTAAGAAAAGCTCATTGATATTTTTCAGATTCGACACCACAATTAACCATTGCCATTTGTCAAGTTATAGTACACAAAGAATACTGTAATCTGAAAGCCTATGGAAATACTCCTCCCTTTATCAAATACACAAGCTGGATTTTCTTCCTATTCTTCAGACTAAACGTCCCGCAAGAGACAGCGACAGCAGCTCTGAGGCCCGCAGTGCCCCTCCACGGCCTCCCACGATTTTTGTACCTAGAGACGCGCAGCTGCCTGGCGCGCCCTGCCAGCTCAGACCAAGGTTGAGGAAGGCGGTCCTTTCATTCTGAGCGAAATTCAGGGCCCTCCTGGTGCTTCGGAGTGAAGTCAGCGTCTGAGCGTACGACCCGCCCAAAAAGGCCGCCCGCCCTACGGCGCCCCCACGCTGCGGCTTCCGAACCGACGGCCGCCCCTAGGCGCAGCCCGGAGCGCAGCAGCAGCAGTAGCAGCAGCGACAGAGGTGGGCGCGGTATGGCGGCCCCGGCGGCTCCGAGCGGCGGGCGATGGGCGGCGGGCGATGGGCGGCGGGCGATGGGCGGCGGGCGGAGCAGCCGTTGCGGGCCGGGAGGGTCCTGACACCGCGTGGGCCTGGTGCCCGCGCTCCGCGTCCCTCACGGCGGCCGCGCCTGGCCACGGCCCCTGCTGCCCGGAAAGGAGCGCAGTCTGCGCCCCGCGTCCCCACGGACGACGCGCGCGTCCAGTGCCGGCGCAGCCGCGACGCCAAGGCGGGAGGAGCCCGCGGGACGAGGGAAGAGGGCGTGACACAAAGCCTAAATGTCGTGTGGTGTCTCCCACAGGAGAACCAGAGGAAAAATAAGGAGCAAAATAAGAGATAATAGGAAGTAGGGAAAGAGCTTTTCACAGGGGAAGGGGACCAAGAGGGAGAGGGAGAGAAGCGGGAAGGGGTTAAAAAAGGAATGAAGATGTGTCAGGTACCAACTCCACACAAGGAATATAAACATCATGTACTACACAGTGAACTAATGAACTGAAATAATAAAAAATAAAGAATATTTGAAATCCCAGACAGTGGCATATTGCGAAGGTGATCAGGACCAAGACATGCTAAGGTCCTCGCATTGTTTGGAAAATAAACGTAACTTTACACATTACATTAGATGCGTAAGCGGAAAACTGTAGGAAAACCTCTAAAAGAGATTTTATTTTTATATCTAATTTAAAAGTATCCCTAAGCACACAGGAGAAAAATGAAATGTGACATAAGGGAAACTACATAAATCCGAAAGAATACAAAAGAAATTGGGTGTGGGAAAGTTTTCCTGAGAGTATCTGCAGTTGTGGTAGAGGTGGCCTGTGAGGGGGAGAAAAGATAGTTCATAGTGCATGTGGCCCGAGTGAAATAATGCTGTATTCATGACAAGCTCAACATCACACCACTTCCACATTCCATGACAACAGATAAGGGTAGTTTATATTCTGAGATTATTATATAGTCAATAGGTAAAGAGATTCAATTAGAGTCTAAAATGGAATCAGAATATCAGTATTACTCCATAATCAGTAATCCGTGAAGGTTGTAGCTTATATGTTTTCAAAAAGAATAGCACATGAAATTGTAAAACAATTTGTGAAAGATAAATAAGGCGACTAAGTGGAGGAAGCACTTGTGTTGTTAAAATTTATGGGTAGCTCATTACTGCTGTGTAAGCCTAGCTGTGTTTATGTACACAGCTGAAATTTCAGCTCCTCAAACAATATCCACCCTGAGGGTTAACCATGTGATTATGTGTCTTCTTGTCTGCTCTCATCCTCATATAGTACTTGGATACACTTTGGGGGGGGGCGGGTACCGGGGATGGAACTCAGGTCCTTGCGCTTGCAGGGCAGGCAGCAGAACCACTGAGCTAAATCCCCAGCACTTGGATACCCTTCTTAACTCTGTCATCAATCCAATCCTAGTATCTGTTCTAACACCATGCTAAAACACTAGCTGATAAATGTTTCCCAATTTATACAATCTTCACTTCATTTCAGTTAGTTTTCAACGGACTCATACTGAATAATAAAGACTATATATGAGGACACTCAATGTGACATGCAGTTGGAGTTGGCAGGACTTTGGGGGTAGCAAGATGAGATGCATTTCACATGATGTGAATTGTACTAAATTTTCTGCTTCTCTCCTAATTTTAAAGCCCTCTTTTCTATCTTTAGTTTCAGCTCTTGTGGGTGTTTTTGTTTTTGTCTTTTAGTTCTAGAATCTAACAGATTGTTTTTGAATTTTTTAATTCTATGGTGAAATTCTTAATCTTGACAGTAATTCCACTGCAGAATTATCATAGTTATTTGAAGTATTTTAGATGACTGTTAACTGGATATCATCTGAGTCTGTTTTTATGGTCCATTGCCTCATTTCTTTTATACCTGGCCCCAAATAATAAGCAAGTATAAAAATTCAAACTTTGGAGCAGCACTGGTCCTGTGAGCGTCTTCTTATGATAGTAAGCTACTGTCTGCATTTGCAGGTAACAGACATAGGAGGCAAAACAAAGAGCCTACGCTGCATGGAATGTGGATTCTAAGACCATACATAAACCCTCTAGAGGGTGATACTTCCATGTTAACTAAACAAAGGAACACCTGTTCCTAAGGGTGCCAGTGATAATATTGTGTATTCTTTGTAATGGTAGAAGAAAAAAAAAGTCTCCATGGAGCCAGGCATGTGGCTCACACCTGTAATCCCAGCACTCTGGGAGGATGAGGCAGGAGGATCTCAAGTTAAAGACCAGCCTGGGCAATTTAGTGACTTGGTGAGACCCTGTCTCAAAATCCTTTGAGATTATACTGTTATAAAGTATTTTACAGATAAGAAATCAAGAACAGAAAAGGATAAGAAAGTTGCCTAAATTTAGAGCTAGTGAGTGTCAAAGCCAAATTCAAGCTGCGCAGCTGGGCTAATAGTTCATGCTCTTAACAATGTCAGTGCATGGCCTCACAAATTTAAACAAACATTTCATAATACAACATAGTAATACATATGTTTTTAAATTGTAAAGAAAGAATTAGAATACTAGATAGCAATAGCATATAATCAGTAACAGGTGATCAGAATTAAAGCATTATAAGGTCTTCATGTTGTTTAGAAAAAGTAAACATAATTTCACTAAACACTAACACAAAAGAAAAATGAAACATACTGTAAAAGGAACTACATAAATCCAAAATAATATGAGGAATTGGATGTAGAAAAGAAACAAAATCAAAAAACTAATGACAACACATAGTAAAATGAGATGTTAGAAAATTTTATTAATGGTTACAATCAATATAAATAGACTGAAGTATACAATTAAAAGGCAAACATTTAAAAAATTAAAAATCCAGGATTTTTTTATAAGAGCCTACATAAAGGCCAAGAAAAAATTCATGTGACATGAGATAAATACTGACCAAAACATTCTAATATTGCTACATTAACACAAAAATTCTAATTAAGAAATTATTTTCCCCAAGCTCATACATAACTACCCCAACTCTCCATAATGGAAAAATCTCAAAACAGCTATAGGGACCTGCTTTAAATATTTATAATTATCTACATGAAAGATGTCATCTGAAACAATATGCAAGAAATTTTAAATGTTCTTTAATGGAAACTGAAAGCTTTTTCCTTGGGATCAAGAATAAAGAAAGAATGCCCACTTTATCAGTGCTATGCATCATAGGACTCAGAGGTCTTACCATAGCACTCAAACAATAATAAAAGGCAACAAAGAATCAATGATATGGTTATATGTGTGTGGGGTGGGGGGAGGTACACACAAGATTCCAAAGCACGCATTAAGAAATTGCTAGATCTGGGGCCTGGGATTTATCTCAGTGGTGCCACCGCCTGCCTCTCAAGACCAACATCCTAGATTCAATTCCCAGTACCAAAAAAAAAAAAAAGAAAAGAAAAGAAATTGCTATAGCTAATCAATGAATTCAGAAGACTTATATAGGGCACAAGGTGAACACACAAAAATCAATTGTGTTTCAACACAGAAGCAATGAACAATCGAAAAAAATTAAGAAAGCAACTTCATTTACAATAATATTCAAACAAAACAAAACAAGAGTGACAAACTTTTACACTGAAAGCTATAAAACATTTCTGAAAGAAATTAAAGTGCCTGGAGTAAATAGACAAGTCACAGTCATGGAATCAAAGACTTACTATGTTTGTTGAGATGTCAGTAAAACCCAAAGCAATCTATGAACTCAACAGAATCATTAATATAATTTCAACAGCCTTTTTTTGTTGAAATTGAAAGACTGATCCTAAAGTCCATACAGAATTATAAGAGGACTAGAATAAACAGAACAGTCTTGATAAAAAACAAAATTGGAGGACTCACCTTCACAGTTTATAACTTACCGAAATACAATAGTAATCAAAATAGTGTAGTACTAACATAATGATGGACACAAAGACCAATGAGTTGATAGTCTAAAAGTACACTTACACATCTGTAGACAAACAATTTCCTCCAAGGGTGCCAAGTCCATTTAATGGTAACAGAATGGTCTCAACTCTGACACATGGATTTCCACATCCAAAGTAATGAAGTTGGATGCCTACCTCACTCACATCATGTACAAAAATTAGGCCAAAATGGATAAACTAAATTTAACAAGAAAAAATAGGAAACTCTTGTAAGAAAATATAGGGTAAATTCTTCATGTTGAATTTGACAGTGGATTATTAGATAAAATATCAAAAGCATAACCCACAATAACAAAAAATAGGACTAGAGATGTAGCCTGGTGGTAGAACATTTGTTTACCATGCAAGAGGCCCTGGGTTCTGAGCACCACAAAAGCAACAACAAAAAAACTAACTAAATAAATAAATAGATAAAAATAGGAAAAGACTTCATAAAACTTAAAATGGTTTCTGCACAAAAGGACATTATCAGGAAAGAGAAAAGTCAACCTAGGGAGAAAAGATTTATAGATCATACACCTGATAATAGTGTATGAATATATCTATGTTAAAAACTCCTAATTGTGGGGGCCGGGGATTTAGCTCAGTGGCACTGCACCTGGCTTTCAAATGCAAGGTCCTGAGTTGGAGCCCTGGTACCAAAAAGAAAAAAAATCCTATTTATACAGGAGATGAGATATGAAAATATTATATCTATCAACCTGTTAGATGTCTAATATTCCAAGCTTGTGTGTTCTAAATATGTAAGAATGAGAGTTCTAGGACCAACCAAAGTTAAGAGTAGGAAGATATTTATTGATAGACTAGCTCCTGAGAGGCAGGAGGGGTCCCCAAATGGATAGTCTAGGACCCCACTCTACAGGGGAGTTTTATAGAGCAAAACTCACATGAGTACAGTGTGGGTTACAGCCATGAAAAATGTTACAAGTATAATCACGTAGGTAACAGTGAACCAATTGAGAAACAAGTCACGTAAAAGGTATGGATGGAAAGAACAAAGGCTT